GCGCGATCTGGCCAAGGCCCGATGGGAAGCAAAAAACCACGGTGAGGTTTTTCTTCTATCGTACCTGAGCTCGTTACAGGAGGTACTCCTTAACCGTATTCTCAGCTTTCGTAACTGCCTTTTGCGTTTGTACAGGCCTGGGAGATGCCCCTTTGATGAGGGAAAGCTCCACCGAGGAGGCGGACACCTCAAGTCTTGCCAAGGAGAAGAAGAGAAAGAGAAAATCGCCAACTGAATCCTCGAAACCGAAGAAGGCAAAATCTCAAAGTCCTAAGGTTGATTCAGCGGCCCTGACTTCGGAAGCAGCGGAGGGTCTCCGAGCTGAGGGCGAAGAGGAGGATGACTCCCTGCATGTGCTCGAGGAAGGAGAAAATGCGTCTGTCTCGGGTCTTGCTAGGCTGATGGTTGTTGAGCCAAAGGTTTCCAAACCAGAAGTTGCTGATGTTGTCCCACCTCGGGCCGAAGAGGCTCTCGTGGGTGGATCAGATAATGCCCCTGAGCCGGTCGGTGACCAAGACATTCCTCGAGCCGAGGGGCTTTTGGCAAATGAGTTAGGGGATCCCAGCTCTGAGGCCCCTCGAAGGCAAGGGAAGGCCCCGATCGATCCAATCGGAGTTAGTGACATGGGTGGTTCTCTGTTGGGTCCGTCATTATCTCCGAGGGAGATACGGGATGTCCAAAATAAAAAGGCTTCCGATTCCGGGGCATCCCTCGAGGGGAATGACTTGTTTGAAGGACTCTTTCCCGGGGTCAAAGAAAATCCCGAACTCAACGCCTCGCTCATCCTCGAGGAAGTCAAAAGGCTATGCAAACAGGTGATCCGTCGTCGATTGCGCTTCGTGTTTCAATCCTCATCTTTACTGATTTTGTTCTTGGATTCTTTCAGGCCATAGTGCTTTACAGTCGGGCCGTTGCTAAGTCACAATCTGAGTCAACCCGTTATGAGGAAGAATGCAGGAGGCTCTCATCAGAGGCTGATGAGCTCAGAGCCCTTTTAGCAAAAAGGGAGGAAGAACTTCATGACCTTCGAGCTCGTTCGGAGGCGGTGTCTCGAGAGTCGACTGATCTTGCAGAGCAGGTAATACAGTCTTTGCATGCTTTTATTTTTGCGCTAGTCCGACTTTGGCACTTAACAACTTTGGGTTGATATTTGTAGCTTGAGAAAAAAGACGCCCTGATGAGGGAGGGGCTCGGAGCCAGGGATATTGAGATTCTCGGACTCAAGCAGCGCATGGATGAGACAACCTCCGAGAGAGATGCCCTTCAAGAGAGGTTGACCTCGGCCGAGCGTCATCTTTGAGACACGAGGGCGGATAGTAGTAAGTATAAGGATCTCCATGCTGAAGCGGTCACCGCGCTATCTATAGCCAAATCTGAATCCGACGAGCTCATGTCCTCGTATCGAAAAGATGCTTCTGCTGCAAATGCTCGAGCCATGAAAGTATCAAAAGAGGCCGAGCTTGGACTGACCCGAGCCTTGGAGCTTGCCCGATTGAAGTCTCGGAGACAGGATCTCGAGGATGCATACGCAGGGGGCATTGATTTGTCTGCTGAGATCGAGAGGGTGAAGGCCTTAGAGGAAGAGTCGGGAGCTCTGCTTTCTTCTGACGATGGTTCAGTCAGTGGTTCTGCCAGCGGGTCTGAGGAAGACGGAGGTGATGGGGAAAACCTCGAGGAGGAGGCCGTTGATGTGCCGAGGGTCGGGAGCCAAACCGTTGATGGCACCACTTTCGAGAAAGTTCCGCCCGATCAAGTGACCCCGGCGGCAGATTAGGCTTTTATTTGTCCCCTTCTCTTAGGGGCTCTTGTAAATACGTCTTTTTTAATATAAGAATTTCTTTATTTTGCCTTTGATCCGTGTTGATTCCAAGTGTATGACTCTAACCGTTAGCTCTGGTACTGGACCCGGAACATAATAAACCCTTAGGTTTTTAAATGATTGGGAGCCGGGTCTCGATTTTTTGAAACGAAGCTAGCCCTTTTAGGCTTCGTTGATAGTCCCCGAGTGAGAATTTTCTTGAACTTGGGCAGCCTTTGGACTCAACAACCGGGTGGGCGTTCGCTTGCTTATCTAAAAATCAGGATAGCTTTTAGGCTTTTACCAAAAGTCCCTGAGTGAGGGTTCGTTCGAGCTCGGGTAGCCTTTAGTTGAGTGAAGATTTTGCTGAACTTAAAATAAAGATAGCTTTAAGATTTTATAGATAGTTCCCGAGTGAGACCTGACTCGAACTCGGACAGCCTTTGAGCTTTAATAATTGAGTGAGCGTTTGCTCGAACTTGGAACAAATATAGCCCTAAGGCTCTTTTAGGCTGGCCCTTAGGCTCTTACGCAATGGCTTTTAGGCTTTTTAGGCGGCCCTTAGGCTCAAACGCAATGGCCCTTAGGCTCTTTGGGCTGGCTCTTAGGCTCTTTTTAGATTGGGTCGATGCGACCTCTAATATGGCTATAGTTTTCCCTCATTTTGGATAAAGACTTTTGAAGTTTTGATTATGCCTTGGCATGTTTTATGTTCGTCCGAATCTTCGACGGCTCAGACGAGATCCTCGATTACGAGTCGATATGTGACGATAGCTGATTACCTCGGGAGACTCACTCGAAGGTTGAGTTTTCGAAACCTTTTGATCGAAGGCTGATTGTTTTTGAAGCCTTTTTACTGTTCGGAGCTGATATTATCGAAGCTCCTTTTGCTTATGCCGAGGGTAGCCTGATTAACCGGTTCTTTTCGAGGTATTCTCGAAGTATTTGGAGGCCTTTTGTTTTATAGCGGCAGTCGGACGTCTCAGAGCAGCGTTAATTCGGCCGTAGCCTTTTAGTTAGACTGTAGTCTTTATGTTTGGCCGTAGCCTTTAGTCCCCGTGTGTGGTGACCTCGGCGTTTATACCGAGGGTATGCCTTTTTAGGGTTCTTACAAGTTCGGATATATAGCCTTGGCCTTAATATCGGGGGTCACGCCTTTTTTAAGGTCTTATAGATTTGATCATGCCTTATTGAGGACTTATAGATTTGATGTTGCCTCAGTGAGGGCTTATGAGTTCGAGGTTGCCTGATCAAGGTCTTACGATTTTGAGTTTTGACGACTCGCTGAGCTGACCTTCGAAGACAATCCTCGAGTGTTCGGGAGTTTTTTGGCTCTTGGGCCATTTTGCGCGACAGTAGTGAACTTCTTCGAAGCGCAAAGCGTTTTGATAAGCAAAGGGGCTTCCTTGATTACTTGATATATGCGTACATGTTTTTTGCTTTTGGAGGCTCGATTATTCTATATGGACACGGTTCGTTTGACCGTGTGGCCCAATACAACATTCTCCTGTCGAGGTCCTCCTAGGTATAGTTTTGATTTCTTCAAAGAGGTGACCTCCTGGGGTGACACCCCCCCCAGTATTTGAGGTTGATCAAAGAGAAGCCTTGAATACTTGATAAGTTCTCCTTAGGTAGCATATGGATGTTGCCTCGTTAAAAACCTTGCCGGTAAAACCCGTTCGGGATAAAACCCGATCTAAAGGGTGCTTCGATTCCTCTCAATCGAACACCTGCAAGAAGTCATTATAAAACATAAATGAAAATGGAGAGGGTTATACCTTAGCAATAATAGCGTTTGAGCATCGATATGTTCCAATTGCTTGGAAGTTGCTCGCCTTCCATGTGTCACACCTCCTTTTTTACACACCTACCCCGAAGGATAAATGTATAAGGGAGTTTTTCCATTTAAAGTGACATATTCGAAAATGGGATTATTTATTTGATTTTTAGAGTCGCCACTTCGGATAGGATTGACTTTTGGTGTCCCAAGTCACCAGTTTAACTTGAATCCCAAATCGAGGAAGATTTCGACTTCCCAGTTGGAGTCTGCGAACCAGAAATTCTACATAAGGAATTCTGTTGACCCGAGGGAAGGTGTTAGGCACCCTCGGATCCCGTGGTTCTAGCACGGTCGCTTAAATTATTATAATTGGCTAAGAATCTGATTTTTAATACATGTTTTAACTTATGTGCCTTTTATTAGTAACCTGCTTTTATTTTTATATTTTAATAAGAATTGCAACGTCGTGAAAATGTATCTCGAACCACGTCGCACCAGTACGCCCGTGATTTTTGGCACATTTCAACTTCGTTGAGATTTGAATTTGGGTCACATAAATGTGCACCCGTATTTAAGAAGGTAATATTATTAAAATAACGCGCCTAAAGCAACTACGCGTTTGCTACTTTGCGAGGGCCATGGAATTTTGCTAAATGGCACGCCTCGAATTCTAAGGATCAATACAAGATTAATTAAATGAGGGCCACGCAATTGTCATTTTTGTTTGGCATGGCACACCTCAATTCTAAATTAAAAGGATTAATTCAACTACATTCGGAGGGCCATAGCTGTTTGTTTTATCTAATATAGCTCACCTCCATTAGCTTAAGAAGCTCAATTATCTAAACATTAAAAGGCCCAGATTATACTATGGTGCAAGCTAACAAAATATATTTTTGAGGTAAAGAGTTAATGGTTTGAAGTTAAATTTGGGCCCACCGTGAGGCCCAATAGCCTGTAGTGCCCTTTTGAATCACAAATGACCATCAGTCCAAGCTAGGGTCCACGAGGGAACCCAAATTGAAGCAAAATCGACTTCAACTAGCAATGGGGTTCTTGGTTCGACCCCACACATCAACACAAGGGGTCAGTTTTTGCATTCAACTCTACAGCCCACATTACTACTTACATTTCAATTAGAAATCACATAAAAATGAAATTGAACTTCGTTCTCCAGGTTTAAAACCATTAACTGAACATTACAAACCCACGAGTTCCAATTACACATGCTCATAATCAAACCAAAATAAGCTAAACCTATTAAAAAGAACTTAATCTACTTAACACAGAGAGCGACTAAACAGTATAGCATGCCAGGTAAGAAAAGAAGTCCAAAGTAAAACATGGTTGAATTTGAAACAACTGAAATTATGCTTTCAAATCTTGCTTTCTCATTTTATTCTGCAAATCCAACATTCACAATCAATAGAGCTTTACAGTGTGTACCTGGAAATAAGATAAAAACCAAAACAAAGCAGGATCAGTAGCTAGCAATTAGTAGCACAGCACCCAGATTCGAGCAATAATCAACAGAAACCCAACTCAAAATAAGTGATACACAGCAGACCCCAGAACCCAATCTCGAACCGATTTCAAACCCCAAATCAATTCATACTCAACCTCAAGTGAACCAGCAAATATTTCCAAACTTGGAAATTTCAGAAATCAGCAAAAGAAATCAATGGAACAGAAAAACATCAACACAGCCTGAACCCAAAACTTTTTCCGACATAAGATCAAGCCATTTTCCACTCAAAGGGAATCAGAAATTGTTTTTGTAATCAAAGAAAAATCCAAAATTCAGGACAGAAGTTCAATGGAATAGTGCTTCTTCCCAAATTTTCAGCCGTTTTATGTTTTTTGATCTTTTATCTCACTAGGTCCCCTTTTGCAAGGCAAGAATAGCATGCCTTTATAGGCAAGCCATTAGGGCAGCCTTGCACATTTATTTTTTACCCCCTTAGGTCCTTTTTAATTTAGCTTTTTGCTTTAAAGTCCCTAAAATCTTGGCTTGTCACTCAAGTCATACTACCCAAAAACCAGAAATTGACATTCAAAACCCCACACCAGAAGCTTCTAGGGGCTTCCTATTCTGTTACTGCAAGATTCTCTAACTTTAACTACCTAATATACCCTTAAGACCCCCTGAAAATTACCTAAGTCTACCAACCAGGAGTCCGGGCCAAATGACCCAATTCAATGGGTCTGAATAGACCCAAATGAATTCATTACTGGGCCTAATGATCACACCACAATCAAAATGGTGTTCAATCGACCCAAAGAACAAGAACCTGGAACTCCTTATCATCACAAAATCAACTCAGCCTTTAATGCTGAGTGATTAACAGGGATGACCAGAAGACAAACAAAAAATAAAAAATAAAAATAAAAATAAACTAAATAACATATGTAAATCAACCTTGCATAAACAGGCACATGTGAAATTAAACCAAAAGAGAAAGAAGAAGCAGGTATAGAAGAAATAATAATGAAGGAAAAGATTAAAGAAAAAGAAGAGAAAACTTACTATAATCGGACCAAGAAAGGGAGGCTCGAATCTTTAAACCTTCGGATTCTTGGTCTAAACTGATATTGATCGTATGTTCCCATAGGGAACGAACAAACAAAATCAATTTGCGCCAAGAACATTCACAGAATCTTGATTTTTAAGAAAAATTAGGGTTTGGACTCCGATTTGGTATTCGGAAGATTTGGCTAAGGTTTGAGAGAAAAAGGGTTGGTATTTGGAATGAGAGGAGGCTGGGGAATTTAGGGTGTAAATTTTGGGATTTTTGGGTAAGTTAGGGTTTTGACCGCCTCTCTTCGATTCCAGATTCGAGAGGTTTGGCGAGGATTCGAAGAAAATTAATTGGATATTTGGAAAGAGGAGGTGAAGGGGAGTCTAAGGTGTAAAATGGGGTTGATTGGATAATCGCCGTCGGCGGAGACGATTTCCGGCCGGCGGCAGACGGCGGAGAACGGAGGCGGAGTGGTGGTGTATACAGGGGTGTGAGAGAGATGACCGGATAGGGGGGTGGGGTGGGGTTTGGACATATATATACTTAGTAACCTAGGCTTCAGGACCGTTAGATTAAAAAACCTCGACGGTCCTGATTGAAAGTTACTAAACGACGTCGTTTAGAGGGGGGGCAGACCGTGGATCGGGTTAATGGGTGTGGGTTTTGGGCTACCAGGCGGATCTGGGGGGGGGGGGGTTTGATTTGGGCTAGGCCAATTTTGGCCCAATTTTGGTCTTCTTATCAAGCCCCACTTTCTTTTATTTTAATTGTTCCTTTTTCATTTTTGTTTTGCTTTCATTTTGTATTTTATATTTTCTGATTTTATAAAATGCTAAAACACAACAAAGACCTAATTAAACTATTTAACTCCTAAAATTATTTAAAACTCTATTTAAAGATAAATGCAACAATTAACAATTAAAAGTGCAAAGAAACTATTTTTTGCAATTTTCTTTAAATTTTGTTCTAAAACTAATTAATACCTAATTAATACTAAAATTGTGAAATTAAATCCCTAAATGCAAGTGCATATTTTGTATTTTCATATGAATAAAAATGCAACCAATTAACACAAAAATTTAACAAAAATTAACAAAAATTGTAAAATAATAAAGAAATCAATTATTTGAAGCTTTTGGAATTAATTTGCTTAGGGCAAAAATCACGTGCTCACAGCTGCCCCTCTTTGCCCGGAAACACGAAGAGTTTCCGTGCAAACATAAGTGAGCGGAAACGAGCGATTTTTGCCCGTTCGCATATTCCGTGTGAAGCATTTTTAAAAGAGAGTTGACCGCACCCTGCTTCAAAGGTTGCCTACATATCCTGGGCTATGAAGGAATCAGGTCAGTGTAGTTCGGGAAGGTTTGGTAGCTGGGACTACCAGGAGCTGTGATTTCACTGCTGTTGTTGTTGCTACTGCTCACTGACCTCCTTATTACACCGTGTTAAAATAAAAAAGAAGCTAGCCTAAGCTATGATCTACGAATTACAAGAGGGTCCTATCTATGTCTTCTAACTTGTTCTTGTGTTGCCTTGAATTTGTATCTTGTAATCTTCTGATGGTATTCCTGTTGTTGTCTTGCATTGTGATTGGCGATATTGCTGCCATTCCTCCGAATGATGCTTGATTACTTGAAACATGTGTCCATTTTCCAGGCGGGCTCCTGACTGCAGACGCTTAAAAAGTATTCCCTTGTTCTCCAGGCGGGCTCCTGATTGCTGAAATTTGAAATATTCCCTTGTTCTCCCGGTGGGCTCCTGATTACTGAAGCTTGAAAAGTATTCCCTTGTTCTCCAGGTGGGCTCCTGACTGCAACAAAATAAACAACAAAGAAAATTTCTGCCCCAGTTTGGTAACTGGATACATCATGTTATCAAATATTAAAAATTAAAAGCTAAAATTGAATTGCACTTCCCTTGTTCTCCAGGTGGGCGCCTGACTGCTGAAGCTTGGAAAGTATTCCCTTGTTCTCCAGGTGGGCGCCTGACTGCAACAAAACAAACAAAGAATATTTCTGCCCCAGTTTGCAATAGGAAGATTTGGGAGTTGTTAGCAAAATATAGATCACCTAAGCTATTGATGCAATGATAAGAGTAAAACAAAAGACTTGATTGGAATGCACGATCCTGTGAGTAAAACCAAGGACATTTGACTAGCAAATTCATCAGACTAGGCCTTCTATCTTAGGAGAAAGATTCCTCAGACTAAGATTTTGATCCTAGGAGAAAGCCCACTAGACTAGGTCTTCAATCTTAGGAGAACAATTCATCAGACTAAGATTTCCTATCTTAGGAGAAATATTCATCAGACTAAAATTTAGATCCTAGGAGAAGGTTCATCAGTTTAGGTCGTTTCATTATCTTAGGAGAAAGATTCATCAGACTAAGATTTTGATCCTAGGAGAAAATTCATCAGACTAGGTCTATTTCTGTTATCTTAGGAGAAAGATTCATCAGACTAAGATTTCTATCCTAGGAGAAAATTCATCAGACTAGATCTTCTATCTTAGGAGAAATATTCATCAGACTAAGATTTAGATCCCAGGAGAAGGTTCATCAGACTAGGTTTACTATCTCAGGAGAAGGATTCATCAGACTAAGATTTTGATCCTAGGAGAAAATTCATCAGACTAGGTCTGTTGTTGTTATCTTAGGAGAAAGATTCATCAGACTAAGATTTCTGTCCTAGGAGAAGGTTCATCAGACTAGGTTTTCTATCTTAGGAGAAAGATTCATCAGACTAAGATTTTGATCCTAGGAGAAAATTCATCAGACTAGGTCTATTTTGGTTATCTTAGGAGAAAGTTTCATCAGACTAAGATTTCTGTCCTAGGAGAAAGTTCATCAGACTAGGTTTACTATCTCAGGAGAAGGATTCATCAGACTAAGATTTTGATCCTAGGAGAAAATTCATCAGACTAGGTCTGTGTTGTTGTTATCTTAGGAGAAAGATTCATCAGACTAAGATTTCTATTGGTATCTTAGGAGAAAAGTCATCGGACTAAGATTTTGATCCTAGGAGAAAGTTCATCAGACTAAGATTTTGACTCTAGGAGAAGATTCATCAGACTAGGTCTCTTGTTATCTTAGGAGAAAGATTCATCAGACTAAGATTTTGACTCTAGAAAAATCCATCAGACTAGGCCTTTTATCCTAGGAGGAAACATTGTGAAAAGTAATGGCAAAGGTCAATGATTTGAGAAACTTCCCTTTTGTCGGTTCTCCTCTTGTTCCTTTTCTTTTCTTTCCTTTCTTGTTCCCTTACTGTTAAACCAACTTTCTTGCACTGCTTTGTTCCTGTTTCAAACAACGAAAACTTGTGAGTTTAAAATGTGGTGGTTGGTTTGTGGCCTTGAACTTCGAAGGTGGCCCATCATCCTCCATTTGTTGCATTGTATGAACGGTCATCTCCCCAATCCTCATGTCTCATATGAATCCCGCAGCATGTCTATTGTCCCTGCTTTGTGTATATGATGTTCTTTCTTGACCACTGGCTTTAGCCTTGAGTTTATTGTTCTTTTACTTGTCACGATAACTGATTCCCCCTCGAAGATCTTGCTTGTTTATTGACTAACCACTTTCTTTGCTACCCTTGACACGGAGACTATCTCTGATCCGTTCACCAAAACACCCTTCATCTGTTGCGTGGTTTCTAAATCAGACCCTTGTATTTTGCACGAATCCCAAAGCATGTTGATTGTGGCCAACTCAGTGTGCCTGTGGTTTTCTCCTGGCTTGACGCCTTTATGTGCTCACCAGGTCCCGTGTTGTTTAATTGGAAAGCTTGGTGGCAGATTTTGATGTCATTTCTCACTTGTTTTGAACAACCGACCTAGGACGAAGGAGTAAAACAAAGTGGGAGGATTGGAGTAAAGGGTAATGGAGAGAGACGATTCCTAACAAGAAACCTACAGAGTAGCAATCCATCAGATGTGGATACCGACTCTAACGACCTTGACATGCACCTGCAGCCTACTCTGTTTAGCAAGTCTGATGTTCAGTTCTTGTTGTACCTTTTGCCGTGAAACTGGGCTTCAATGCTCCGCTTGCCCGATCCGATTCACAATCCTTATTCGACTTGTAGTGCCCGAAGGGTTTTCACCATCAAGCCTCTCTCATTTTGATTTTTCTCTCAACTCACCGTCGCCTTATGGTGCCCGTGAAGGTTTTCACCAATAAGACTCTCTCATTTTGATCTCTCTCAGCTTTCAATTTCTCTCAGTTCACCTTGGGGGTACCCGTGAGGGTTCTCATCAACAAGACTTTCTCATTCTTCATTTCCTTCATTTGGACCGGAGTGTTGCCCCTGATATGATTCACCTCTGCTCACTTGACTCGGCATTTCTTGAAGACTGATCGGAAGGTCTTTCTTTGGACCGTAATGTGGGCTTTTGGATAGGGTTAGAAAGGAAGGGTATCAAAGGCTCAAAACAATTCAATCATGGGTTCAAAGTTACAACTTTCGGAATCAGATTCCTCACAGCAACCACAACTTCTGCCCCAGTTTCTTTCTTGGGGGACTTTGGATTTTTGTTTTGGTGTGACTGAACCTCAGAGAGAGGCTGCCTACGTACCCTTTCGGGATCAAGTCAAACGTAGTTCAGGCGACTACTTTGATTGTTGCGATCTTTCTTCCGCTTTTCATTTCCTTTCTTTTCATTCTTTTCTTTTCCTTCTCTTTTCTTTTCTTTTCTTCTCTTTTCTCTTTTTACTTTTTCTTTTCTTTTCTCTTCTTTTCTTTTCTTTCCTTTTTTTTTCTCTTTTTGCTTTTCTTTTCTTTTCTCTTCTTTTGTTTTCTTTCTTTTCTTTTTTTTTCTTCTTTTTCTTTTTTACTTGTTTTTCTCTTTGTTTCTCCTATTTTACTTCCCCTATTT